AATCGGATGTTCAGTGATGACCTGCACAACCTTAACAAACGCATCAGCTATCTCTACAAACATTTTAACCGACGTGGAAAGTACCGGTAGAAGAGTAAGCTGGGGACTGTGGAAGAGGCATAGCTAACATCCAGGTGGAGGGAAACAGTACCTTTTTCCCTATGAGGAAAGGAATTTGTATGCTCTCCGTAATAAAATGAGGCTTCTTTAGAATCTGTTATCCACACACTTTATTTTCCTCTAGATGCTACTTTCACTTGCATAGACTATGAAGTCTGACTCACACCTAAGTCTTAGAGTCTGAGATTTGGACTTTACCACTTGCCTTTTGCAGTCTAGCCATGTCTATGGCCTTTAAAAAAGAAAAATTATTGTTGGCATTTTTTGACATTTGGACTTCATGTATTGAAAGTGGTAATTTTTAATTGCCTCTTAATGTTAAATATATTTTTAAAAATCCACAGTGGGCCTGGCTGGTGTGGCTTAATGGTTGAGCATCAACCTATAAACCAGGAGCCCAGGTTTCAGGCTTGGTCCACAGTTGGGGGCAGGAAGGAGGCAGCCAATCAATGATTCTCATCATTGATTTTTCTATCTCCCTCTCTCTTCCTCTCTGAAATCAATAAAAATACATTTAAAAAAAAACCACACTGGAGTGAAATGTAACGGAAAAGTGGCATTATATTTCTGTACTATTCTTATAAAAACTATTGGTTACCTTTTCTGAGCAGAGAATTGTAGGAGAAACAAAAATGTGTAATATATTCTTGACCCACTCTCTGCATATGCTTTTCTAGTTAGGGATATCCTAGCCTATCCTATATAATAAAAGGGTAATGTGCAAATTGACTGAATGGCAAACGACCGGTCGCTATGACATGCACTGACCACCAGGGGGCAGATGCTCAATGCAGGAGCTGCCCTCTGGTGGTCAGTGCGCTCCCATAGGGGGAGCGCCTTAGCCACAAGCTGGGCTGACGGTTGGCAAGCACAGTAGCCCGCCTCTGGCAACACTAAGGAGCGGGCCTAAGCTGCGGTCGGACATCCCCGAGGCTCCTGGACTGCGAGAGGGCGCAGGCTGGGCTGAGGGACCCCCACCGAAGTGCATGAATTTCGTGCACCAGCCTCTAGTGCAGCGGTTCTCAAACTGTGGGTCGTGACCCCTTTGGGGGTCGAATGACCCTTTCACAGGGGTCACCTAAGACCATCGGAAAACACATATATAATTACATGTTGTTTTGTGATTAATCACTATGCTTTAATTATGTTCAATTTATAACAATGAAATTGGGGGTCACCACAACATGAGGAACTGTATTAAAGGGTCTTGGCATTAGGAAGGTTGAGGACCACTGCTCTAGTGTGTGTGTGTGTGTATATAGATATATTCTTCAGAACACCTTGCACTTAGCAGTCTCAAATATTTGATTGTCTCTCCAGTCCCACCAAATCATGTAAGGTATTCCAGAGCCACTCATATTTCATACCCACCTCTCCATTCTTATATCCAGCTCTTCTCCAGCCATCACTTTGAAAACACTCTCCCATATTATGAGCCCCAATACATAATATATACATTTCCATAAGACCCAGGATCATAATTTATGTTCACACATACCCATATCCATTTCTCTGAAACCCTAAACTTTTCACGTGGGGAGCAGGCCTACGCCAGCAGTTGAACATTCTTAGTGCTGCCAGGGGAGGCCAGAGAGGCTCCCGCCACCGTCGCTGTGCTCGCCAGCCGTGAGCCCAGCTTCTGGCTGAGCGGTGCTCCCCTTGTGGAAGCGCACTGGCCACCAGGGGGCAGTTCCTGTGTTGAGCCCCCTGGTGGTCAGTGCATGTCATAGCGACTGGTCATTCTGCCATTTGGTCGATTTGCATATTAGCCTTTTATTATATAGGATATTTTAGTAGAACATGTGATTATTAGCGAAGAGGAAATTGATAGTTCAGTTCAATGAGCATTTATAAAATGTTTCCTGCTGTGAAAATATAAAAGGTCTTGTTTTCAAGGACAGAACAATCTTGTTTTAGGTGTGAAACAGTATGTAACATTTTCATTCAATAAACACTGAATCATATGTGCAAGGTTATTTGTAGGGACATAAATCACTGTCAGGATTGATTCCTAACTCTCAGTAGCTTTCATTCTACTTAAGAGATATATATGTAAACAATATGACTTTGAATATGGTAATTGCATAGAAAAATTAGAGACTTCTAAGAGTTTTTTTCTTGGCTGGGGTGGGGGAGTGGGTAGTCAGAAAAGGTATTTGTTGAAAAGATGACATTTGAGCTAAGTCTTGGAAAATTTCAGCTTAAGGACATGGGAAATCAATGTTAACTATGAACGGTAACATATGGGCAGCAGCTTTGATGAGTAAGAAATAATTCAGGTGGGTAGGGGAATGGGGGATAGCCTTGTCATGGGAACATAGACATGTGAGCAAAGGTGGCAACTACTGCCACAGGTCCATAGGATTAAGTTAATGATCATTAACATTATCAGTAATATTTTTCTAATAACAGGAAATAAGTTTTAGATAGGAAAAATAGCGCCAAATGACCAGGAGTCTAGCCAGGATGAAGACCTTAGATTTTTTTTAACCCTGTAGACCAGAGCTGTTCAATCCTGGTTACATGTTAGAAACTTCTCAGAGGCTTTAACAAAAAACAAACAACAAGAAAAAAGAAGATTCGGACCCATCCTACACCAATGAAATCAATCTGAGACTGGGTTCCAAGCATTCATGTTTTTAAAAGCTCCTAAGAGGTTCTAAATTAGGATTGAGTACCACTGCTTTGGGAAATGGAAGAAGGCAAGGGAATGCTTTTGAGGGTTCCTTTACTTTGATTTGGCTGAGTCTCTGAACTCATAATATTTTTGCTGTTTGATTTTGCTTGGTTTAATGTGTCTGTGTCTGTCTTCCCCATTAGTTAAGCCTCATTCCCACTGAAGGTAGGGACTGTCTTGTACATATTTGATTGCTGCAGTAGTTGAATATCTGGCATATTAGATATCTTTATATATGGGCTCTTTTTAAAAATATCGATTTTAGAGAAAGAGAAACATTGATTGGTTGCCTCCCATAGACACCCCAACTGGGGATCAAACCTGCATCCTAACTATGTGCTCTAACCAGGAATTGAACTGTGACCTCCCGTTTCATATGTCGACACTCAACCACTAAGCCACACTGGCTGGGCTCCTTTTTATGATTAAAATAAAACCTGTTAAACTAGTAACAGAGGGAAATTTCATTAATTTGATAAAGATTATATACTGGAGATTAACAACATAGATTTATGGACATGTATTCCCTTTAAAAATCAGCAACAAGACAAGGATGCCCACTATTACTGCTGCATTATAACTTAGTACTAAGTCAGTGTTACAAAAAAATTAGTGGTTGCTAAGGGGTGGGGTGGGTGTGGCTATAAAGAGATAGCTCCAAGAAGTCTTATGCTTGTGCTTGTGTAATAGTTCTGTACTCTGATTGTGGTAAAAGGAATCTACACTATTTCATAAAACTATATACACATGCAGGCACACACACACATATACACAAGAATGCATGTAAAAATGGCAAAATCTGAATAAGCTCTGTGGGCTGTACCAGTGTCAATTTCCTGGTTTTAATATTATAGGTGAAGGGCTATAGGGGAACCTCCCTGTATTATTTTCTTAATTTTAAAAGTATTTCAATTAAAAAAAAATTCAGTGACTTAGTTTTCAGGGGAAAGTTGGTGGGGATACTTAGGTGTTCATGCTGCCAAAAATAATTCCTCCCAGTTTATCTTTGAGGGTTTATGATTTGTTTTCAGTTCCTACAAGTTGTCATTTTGGTGTGGTTATAGGAGGTAGATGGGATAAACACATGATCAGTACATTATGTTTCTAAGAGCAATTGTTCATTAGTTTTAAGCAGGGTTGTGACATTTGCATAGAGCATTCTGGTGGTTCCTTAAAGGATGGATATGAGGGAGGGCAAGACTAGAAACACAAAGATATTTCACTAATTCTAAAATACACTTTTAAAAAATTTTAACATCTAAATTAGGATGTTTCAATATAACTGTTAGCCAAATGAGTGTCTGAGGCTTGGAAGAAAATTCAGAGACAGAAGAGGAACACTGAGAAATGCTGTCTCACCAAAGTTCTTGATGACTGACTATATTGTGTGGAAAATTATGAACATCTAAGACTGAGTCAAAAAAAATGAATCTTAAGAGCCTCAATTTGACGTTTTAGGAATACTGTTACCATGTTATTTTGTATTTTCTTTTTTTACATATGCACCAGAGTGAAATATAAAAATCTTTATATAAGTCTATACTTTCAATAAATATAAAAACAGTTGATAAGAAGCATCGAGTCAGCTTATTTGCTACCTTTTTTCCCTAGCGGGAGCTAAAATAATGTTGAGTTTTACAACGGATAAGAACAGTGAGACAAGGGGAGAGAATTCTTGAAATACTAACAAGGAAAAATCGACCCGACTTGGTGAATTATTAGAGGAGGGGTAAGGATGAACGGGGAGGAAGTCCAGGGTGGTGTCCGTTTGGGCCACCTGGTGGGTAAGGTACCTGGAAGAAACGGGAGGAGCAGGTTTGGCGGGAGGTTCAGTGTCGGATACACGGCGTGAGGCGCTTGTCGGCAGCGTGGAAGGAAACGCGTGAACGAAGCCTGCGTATCTGCTTTGGGGGGACGGAACCCCCGCCCGGTACTTGGGCCCGAGAGCCTGCCGTTCTGCCTTAACAGACTCTGCCTCCGCGGAGTTGTTGGTCAGAGGCGGGCAGGTGGGTGGGACGCCGGACAGATCTGGGCGTCAGGGCTGTGCGTGGACTGACAAACCACCGACTTCCCCGGGACTCCAGAGTCCCGGCCACTGTGAGCTCCCGGGACACTCGGCCGCTGTCGGCGAGAGCGGCGCGATTGGCTGGAGCTGCCGGCGCTGGGACCGTGGGCGGGGCCAGGCTTCAGAAACTGTTCAGCAATTGGCTGGCAGGCGCCAGAAAAGGCTTAACTCGAAATGTTGGAGTTGCCCCACCAGAGGGTTGAAGCGTGTTTCCACAACCCCCTGTCGCTTAGTTACAGATTAGCCAACTATAGTCATCTTTGTCAGTGAATGAGGAAACCGCTACTTTGATTGGCCAATTTGCTCGGGCTTCCCTTCTGGACTGCGCCTGACCCGGGCGGGGATTGGGCCGCGGGATTGTCAATCTTATCGGGGAGGCGTGGCCGGCACTAATAAAGACCGGGACCCGAACTGCAGCTGCAGTAAGTTCCACCGCAGCTAGAGCTCCGGGTGGTCAACTAGACGTGCAGCTCGGCAGTTCCGTGGACTTCAGCCGCAGCGTTCCCCTCGCCGGGTGTCTCGCCGCAGCCTCCGGAGAGGAGACCGATCCTCACTTCTCAGAGAAATGTGAGTTGACTCTGGTGTGGGGAGCTCGACCCTCCATGCCAACTCTCACCGCCAGCGTCAGACTCTGCGGGATGGAAATGGCGCATTGCAGCAGCTGCAGCGACGCGGGGAACTACCCCCGCGCGCAGCCCCCAGACCTGACCACCCCCAGCGAGGAGGGCAGCACTCCACTCCTGCACCAGCCACAGCCAGCACCCCACGGGCGGGGCAGGGGCGTAGGGGTCCCACATTCATTGCACCCATTCTTCTCGCCCGAGGGGCGCCTCATGCAGGTTTCGGTCTAGCGGAGCCCGGGAGAGGGCGAAGGTGGGCATGGAGTTATCGGGTAGGGTCTGAACGAATCTGTACTTGGTTCCTCTGGAAAGACAGTCATAGATGCATCTGCTAGTTAGTAATTTCTGTATGTCCCTCACCCCAACTGTTACGTGTTGCCTCCCTCCCACCTTGGCAGTGAGCAAAGCTCCAGAAACTTATCTGCCAGTTCTCAGAACTCAGGGGGCAGTGCCCTATGATTCCAAAATGCCTTCCTCCCATGGCCACCCTGAGGTGTTTCCCTTCACTGAGTCTCAGCCAAGTGCTGGGAAGAGAAATAGAGCTGAGGATCCCCGTCTTCCCCAGCGCATTACATTTAGTCTCGGACCATCTTCAGCATCACCCCCATCCTAAGACCCGAGGGAGAACCATGGCTAGAGAAGTGAAGCACTCCCCTGTCAGGACCACTGTCTGCTTGATAGAGGTCTTTCTTCCTTGCCTGGTCCTAGACAAAAAACGGGAAAAGGTTTACTTATCCTACATAAAGGTTATAACTGTTCTGGATATTTTATTGCTGAGTGCTCTCAACTCCCAACAAGTTGTACGTGGAATGGTCCCTTCACATGCTTTACAACCATGTCACATTTTCTCAATTGGATTTCTGCAGCTTTTACTCTGTGACATTCTGGGCATCTTGGCCAAGTCCTAGGAACCCATTTGTTTGCATTTGGGGAAGGAGGATCCTTCTCGGCTGACTGGTTCCCAGGAGCACCCATGTGGGATGCACCGAAGGAGGTGGAGCAAGTGTGGGGACCAGCAGGGCATCACAAGGCCTCTGACCTCAGTCTTGTCATTGCTGCTGCCATCCTGGACTGCTTCCAAGACCAAACAGTGGCTCCTACCCACTCATTGGATTTTCCATCTTCAGAGAAACTAGATCGCTGCTGAGTTCAGTGGTAGCACAAGAGTCTCATGGCTTCCATGGCTTTGGATCTTCCCTTTGCGCCTTTACGCCTTAGAAGTGAGGAAGTGATAAGTTAATGGGGATACGTCAGGTGTAATCTGCTAGTGTCTCCTTTCTGAGATCTTATTCTCTATCTTTTTAGACTTGAAAGAAACTCATTTAGGGAGGAGGAACTTCTGGGTATTAGGTCTATTGTGAGCAGTCAAGGCATTTCCTGCGTGGTGACTTGGTGATGGTTTAATCCCTCTATCATTCATTCTTAGACTGCTCCTAGGAGGTATGTTTTGTGAGATTCAGCTTCTGTTTGAGGAGTTCTTATTGTAATTTCTATTCTCCATCAGATTTGAGAGACCTCCCTCCTGCTGGTAGGGTCTTCCTTGGGAGAGAAAATCTCATGCCGTAGGTTAGACTTCATGAAAAAGAGTTTGTCTTGAACACCTCATACTAGGTTAATCCCTTCTCAGGCTGAGGGAATGAGGACAATCACTGTGGGTAGTAGTGTAAACCAAAATTTCTCTTTGGGACATAGGGACATATGTCTCTTTGGGACACAGGGTAGTTTCCTGAGATTTGTTGCCAAATCTAGAAAAAGAAGGGACAGAATGTCAAAGATGCATGTACACTGAGGCCCATTTCTCTTCATTTTGCCTCCTGTCTATGCTCTTGGAACAGTTTCATAATTAATGTAATTGTTTTAGGCCCCAGTTCTATCTAAGTGAATTTCCCATCTTCTCTGCCAAAAACAAAGGGAGCAAACTGTTCTGACTCACTCCACCTACAGAGGCTCTGCCTTTGGTGATTCTCCAAGTTGTCCTTACAACAGCCCCAATATACTAATTGCTGAATGAAACATAACCAGTAAGTGGATCCCCTTAAGCAGAATCTGTCAGCTTGCTCTTTGTAGATTTAGGCTTTGGGGAGAAGGGCTGTTTAGTCCATAGGTTTATCCTGAGGGTTTAGTCTTGTGTACAAATTTCTTCTAACCTGGATTGGAGGTTTCCAGTTTGACTTTATGTGAAAGGCTCTGACAGCCAGGGCAATGCCATTCAGGCCAAAGGTAGCACATTAGTCCCTGGAACCATTGTGTCAAAGGATGTGTGTGAGTTTGGGTCAGAAGATGGCCCAAATAAGATCTCTTGATACCACCCTGGACGTCCTTGACCCCCACTAAATGTTGTTACAGGATCTTTTGTGAATATCCCCCGTCCCGCGTGGTTCAGGGTTTGGGATCTGGAGAAGGGGTTGCACGCAAATGAAAGAGACGAGACAAGAAATAATAATTTGGAAATATTGGGAGCCAGGCGGAAAGCCCAGTGCAAGGGAAAGGACTTCCACTGGGTGCCCAGGCCTTGCCAACCTTTTATTCAATTTTGGATACACATCTAGCTCTTAGTCAGGAAGGTAATTGCGTTAACAGACAGACTATCTTAAAGGTCAGCAAATATTAGAAGGATTTACTCTGAGACAATTTGGTCAGGAAATAGCTTGAGCCCCCATTGTCTGGACTAAACAATCGGTGCATAGCTCTGGCCCTTGCCAGGGGCTCAAGGTTCACCAGCTTTCCGGGATCCTTGTTTACACTTCTCTGATAGTGAAGACAATGGGTGGCTTCCTGCATCTTTTATCTTTTGCTTCTTGTCACTGTGCTGTATCTCCCTTCTTGGTATGGCCAAGGAGCTAGAACCCCTTCTAATTACATATCGTAACCTAATTGCCATGAATTTGATGGTGTGGGTTGAGAATGCACATGATTTCTTTCTTGTTTTGGGTACTTTGTGTACTCTGTCCACTTTTCTTTCTTTCTTTCTTTTTATTATATTTTCTTTTAAAAAATCTTTATTGTTGAAAGTATTATTCAGGCCCTCCTTTTCCCCCCATTAACCTCTTCCAGCCCGTTCCCATCCTCCCTCCTGCCCCAGGCCCTCAGCACCCCATTGTCTGTGTCCATCCGTGCGTTATGCATATATGCCTACAAGTCATCCACTTTCTCTACAGGTCCGATCCAGCTCAGCCGCCCACTGAAGGGGCAGAAGGGACTGCCCCAGGTGGGGGTCCCCCTGGCCCTCCTCCTAATACGACCAGCAACAGAAGACTACAGCAAACCCAGGCACAAGTAGAGGAGGTAGGTGGAGCGTTTTTCCCTGAGGGTTTCCAAATCATAGGCGTTTAGAACTTTTCTTTCTTATAGAGCAGTGGTTCTCAACCTTCTGGCCCTTTAATACAGTTCCTCATGTTGTGGTGACCCACAACCATAAAATTATTTTCATTGCTACTTCATAACTAATTTTGCTACTGTTATGAATCGTAATGTAAATATCTGATATGCAGGATGGTCTTAGGCGACTCTTGTGAAAGGGTCGTTCGACCGCCAAAGGGGTCGCGACCCACAGGTTGAGAACTGCTGTTATAGAGCGATAGCTAAAGGCTTTGGGAGGCAAGGCATCCGTTGGAGTTACACAGGGCAACCCTGTGATCCACTGGTTGTTGTTCTTTCCCGTGTCTCTGGTGGAGAGCTTAGCAGCTTTGTTTCTGGCCCCCCTCAGGTGGTGGACATCATGCGTGTAAATGTGGACAAGGTCCTGAAGAGGGACGAGATACTGTCAGAGCTAGATGACCGAGCTGATGCCTTGCAGATGGGAGCGTCACAATTTGAGAGCAGCGCTGCCAAGCTAAAGAGGAAGTATTGGTGGAAAAACTGCAAGGTGAATTTTCTTGTCCTTTCCCCCTTCTTTTTCCTGGGCCACAACTCACAGAAGGCAAGAAATCCCTCCGGTTCTAAAGGGTGTCCCAAAATTCATGCAAGAAGTAATTTTGATAGAAAATACAGGTTTATAATTAAAAATTGTAAATTTTTTATTGATTCATAAAGTATACAATATAGGGTTATGTATGGAATAGCATATCGGGTAAATGGCCTCCACAGCACAAAAAACTGGATTATCATGTTGCGATAGCAGCGAGCACCATTAACTGTTATTGCCTGAGCAGCCGCATTTCGGTCATGGAAAATTTCAACAAAAGAGTGCGCATGTGCCAGCAAAGCCGTGGAGGCCATTTACCCGATATGCTATTCTATACATAACCCTATACTGTATACTTTATGAATCAATAAAAAATTTACAATTTTTAATTATAAACCTGTGTTTTCTATCAAAATTACTTCTTGCGTGAATTTTGGGACACCCTTTACATTCCTCCCCTTTAGTGGTACAGGATCATTGCCCTGCAGAACTCTTCTTGGGAGGGAAGTCTTAAAAGCCTCCTTGAGCTGCATTACCCAGAATTGGCCACCAGGGTAGGCTAGAGTATTCAGACCCACTCACGGGGGACACCCTGAGGAGTTTGGAAATGGTTAGTCAAGCTGCCTTTGCCAAAAGGACCCCTGGGAAATTTTTCACCTGGCCCTTCCTCAAACACCCAACATGGACACAATGACTGGAGTAGATAAATGTATTTAAATACATGCAGCTTTGAGGAATGAGCTGAACACTTCACATTGAAAAATGAATCATCTGACTGCAGATCCATTGCAGTTCTTTTCAACACGACAGGACCTAAGGAAAAAGAAGCAGCTACAAACGCTCTGATGTTTCTGAGGAGCTTCCCCTGTGGTGCAGGGGTTATTGTCTGATGGGGAGGATGGGGGCTGGGCCCTCGCCAAGAGGCCTGCAGGTCTCCTGGGTGATGTGTGTTTCTTGCATTGTCCCAAAGACAGAGTAAGTTCTCTTCCTGGCTCCTTCCTTCCCCAAGTCCAAGGACCCATTTTTTGTCAATTTCTCCTCAGATGATGATCATGCTGGGGGTTATCTGTGCCATCATCGTGGTAGTTATTGCAAGTAAGTATTCCTGAGGTTTCTGGTGGGGTGAAGAGGTGGGAAGGTCCTGGAGTCTTCTCCCAGCCCTGCCTGCTTGCCTCCCTGCCTGAGGAGTGGGGCTGCTCTGACTGAGGTATGGAGATCACTGTTGTGGAATCATCACCTGGCTCAGGAGGGAGGAAGGGCAAAGACAAAGGACTCCCTTGATGGACAAGGCTTCCCTCTGCTGTTTGTCACTGTCGTGGGTCAGAGGGAGACATGGGGGTGGGACACCTACAACGGAAAGACCCGAATGCCTAGTAACTTGATGTCATTTGTGCTCTTGTTTTCTCCTGTCTCTCTCTCTTCTCCATCTTGGACTTCCTGATTCCTGTGTCCAGTCTACTTTTTTACTTGAGAACGTGCCACCCCTTCCCTGTTCTCCATTGCCATCCAAACTCATGTTCCTCTCCTTGTTTGCTCTCTCAACAAACTTCCCCATCTACCTTCCTCCATCCCAGCCTAGGCTCCTCCATCGCTCATTCCTCCTCTGCTGTTGCTTTCATTTGCACTATGTACCTCAACACTGGAAATGCTGCTCCTGGCGCAATTTGAAGCAACTATCTGAAGAGCAACAGCTGGCACCTCCTCCCTACATGCTTCTTATATACTCGCAGATTCCTCCAAAGCCAAAAAGAGATGGAGGCCAAGGGAAGGGGACGGGCGTAGCTGTAGTGATGTGCCCACAAAAGTGTCAAGATTTGGGGAGAAGGGTATCAGTGCCTGTGGTGCCTCCAGGAAAGCCAGGCCGCTGGCAGGAGGAGGCCATGAACACCTGCGAAAATGGTGGCTCACTCAGGGCTGCCCTGGTCACTTGGAGCTCTTCTCCTATGCCAGGCCTGAAGAGGATCCTTGGTGGGCACAAAGTCCAACTCGGTCCTGGTGCAATACCCTCTTAGAGAGTAAAACCTGTTTTTTGCAGTTATTTCTAATCTGTTAGTCCAAGATTTTCTACGTCTTCAGGGAACTTACAGCCTTTTACTTTGTTCTCCAGCGACCTGGAGAACACATATTAATTGTGAAAATACCAGAATTCTCATTGCCATCCTAGAAGCAGTCCCACAAGCTCATAACCGGAAAGGGTAGTCCCTTGTCCACATTTTCTGCGGCATTCTGTACTGTTCATGAGAGTACCAAATAACTTCATCTAGCCAAAGTCTGGGGCTCTTGATTAGTTTCCATTGTTGGCATACAGAGAGCATGCCTATTAGTTAGAGAGAAACAGTGAATGAAGGGCCTAATTTGAAAATAACAAGCTCAGAGGAAGCCACTTCTTGCCCTCTCGTTAAGGAGGGTCCTGCTCCTCCCTTCCTGTTGATTAAGGAGTGTGAGGGGTCCTTGGACTTTCAGGGACTTCCTCTACACCACTCCTGTGTACTTGCCAAAGACAGGGATGAGGCAAGATGTCCTTCCTGAGGCCTGGCTGATTCTGAATATTTTAGAAAAGCCCAACTCAGTCTTGGGGTAGGAGGTGGACAGTGTAGAGTTTGTGCTATCACGGGGCCCTTTCACTTAGAACCACCTGTCTGTTCTTCCTGCATTGTACTCCCCTTCTAAGCCACGTGTTCCCATCTGAATTCCACTTTGCCTCCTTTCCTTTTCTCTTTGCATGGCTTGTGGGTACAGACAGTGGAATCTAAGGATGGGAGCTACTCAGCCTGTGCAGGGGCCACTGCTGGGCTTCAGGATAGGGTATTGGGTGGGGTAGGCCCAGGTGTGAGGGGAGGCAGGCAGGCTGGGAACAGAAGGGGAAACACCCATGCGCTTGTATTCCTTCTGTCCTCTGGCCCACAAGCAGGAAGAGGCTGGGGCCAGGCTGGGCTGGGTTGGATGCTCACTTTCCATGCAGCAGCATTTCATTGCGCAAAACCATCCTTCCTCTCCCTTTGCTCCTGTTCCCCACATTCCCTTTGTCCTGCCCCAGGGTGGGACTGAAGAGCTGGAAGAAAGCAGTCAGTGTACCCTCCCAACGGTCTCCACTCTCCTCTGGGCTCCTCTTTGCCTAAAGCAGGGGGTCACCGCTGGAGAAGAGCCACCACTGTCCTCGATGTGTCCCAAGCCTGGAGCAAATTCGCCCTCTTAGCCCACCCAGCCGTGTCACAGGAATTATTTCCTGGGTGTCTGCCCCTCTGAGGCTCACCAGATATAGTTGGCTTTGTTCTTTTGGAGATGTCAGCCCTTCTACTTTCTTTCTCATCCCACTGTGTACCCTCTTTTGTGTCTTTGCTGTCCCCTTTCCCTCCCACCACCCATGTGCATGAGCAAATGTGCAACTAAACCCTGGGACTTTGCAGTCAAATGAAGCTGAGCTTCCCAGATCCCCTTCGGTTTGCCATGAGACGATGTGGGGTTTCCACTGTGTGTCTGTCATCACCTCTTTGTCTTTTCCCCTAACCTCAATCTCATTCGTGTATAGAATAATAATTGTACTTCACCAAAGGCATGTGGCATATTTACCAATGTCATGTATTCTAAACAAAGGCGCAAAAAATATAAATTCCTAACTACACTGACTTGGGTGTTGTTTGGGTTGGAGTAACTGAGCAGAGAGGGGGAGACGGGGAGTGTTGCTTCTTTCTAGTAGTCTGATGTTGCTGTAGGCCGGAAGGGCTGGCTTATGTGTGTCAGATGGTCTTCGGAGATTAAAGCTCTGTGTTGGCAAAGGAAGTGGTCTCTGCTCTCAGCATTCATGCCTGACGCAACCCAACTCTTCAGGTGCCAGTGAGAGGAAGTGACAACAGGAAGTTGAGTGAGGATCTCACACTGATAAACAACTGCAGGTTTTCTCAGACGTTTCCTATCTACCTCCTTCCTTCCTGGGGAGTTCACTGTATGGACTAGCAGATTTTAGAAATGAATAAAAGAATCTCTCCCTGGCAGCTGAGTCGCGTGAGGAGGAGTAGGGATGAGGAGTTATAGGTATCCTGAAGTGACCAGCAACTGTCTAAGGAGCAGAACCTAATTACAGCTCCAGGTTACACAGAGCAATTGAGACGGCCCCGGGGCTGCCCTCGAGGGCCTTTATTTCACACCTTGAACACTTTGCAGCAAGGCCCGGGACACAGCTCAGTTGGGTCCAACACGGGAAGATAGGAAAGTGGAAAAGCTTTGCCGCCAAGGACCCAAGAGGCTTTTATTCGGACAGAGTTCAATATTTGTGTGTGGTGGCCCAACCTCTATCCCTTTGTCCCACTGCCCCTCACTTGCTCCTTTCTTAATTTCTTCCCATTTTCTGTTCCTACCACTGTACCTCAAATCTGGTTCTTGTTTTAACTTCCACCCAGACCTTCCTGGTGTCCTCTGTCCTGTTTACCCCAGGCAAAGCCCAGAGGGCACCTACAGCATCTCCTCCCTGACGCAGAAGGAAGGCAGAGTCCTGCACATGTTCAGAGCCAGTGCCCCAGTGATCTGTGCTTTCTTCATGCTTTTCTTGGGGTATTTTTGAGCTTTGAGGCTTGGCTTAGAGTCCTTCTGGGAGAACGTGACTACTCTTTCTTTTTACTCGGAGGCAGGAGCGTGGTTTCCCAGAGGGCCTCGGAGTCTTGGCAGACCTTGGATGAGGTAGCTAGGAGAGAACAAGAGGGAGTGAGGTTGGTTTCAGCTGTGGTAACCCCCAAAGCTGTGGGCTGTGGTGAGGGGGGTGGGGGGGGCTGGCTGGAACCTGGGATGCTTGGGCTTCATCCCTGGTCTGGATGGGGAGAGGGTGGGGAGGTGGTTAGCGGAGGCTGGTCTGTAAGTGAGGTGGGTCAGGCAGAGCTGAGGGCAGTGGACTCTTACCTTTCCATCTCTGTAGTCCCAGGTACAGTAGTGCAAGGAGGAAGAGGGTGCTGGCAAAAAGGACTCCAAAGGCCACAGTTCTCTGCTCTGTAGGTGAGAAGAGTGCAGGCAGGAATCAGTGCGCAGGAACCAGCTCAGCCCGCGCCAGCAGGAGGACAAAGGAGTGTGTGTGAGTGTGTGAGTCCCCGTGTGGGGAGCTCTTATCAAGAGTTCTGCTCTCACCCAGGAACTGGGCACACAGTAGCATTTGTACTTGCTCAAGGTTGTTGGATGTTTGTGTGTTTCTCCACACAGAATCCCTACCATTTTCCACCTCAGGACAACATTTTTTTTTTTATTGCTTTGCAAGAGAAATTTAAGTTAGATAGCGGTTGGCAGTTAAGCTAGGACTTTATAAATAGCTGGAGAATGATGTGAGCTGAGACAAAACCCCAGTCTCAAATAATAATGCCCAGTGCTCCTGGATGTTTGCATTCTAGGTACTGATTCTTTCCTGTTTAAAAATTTTACTGTGGGAGGTTGGGGGTTAATGGGGGGATGAGGACACATTTGTAATACCTTAACTAATAAAAAAAAATTTTACATAATATTCTGTGGCTTCAGGATGAAGTTCCAGCTTGAAGGCCCATCAGTATCAGCCCACTAGCCCTGGTCAGCCTGCCCAGTGGTTAGAGCATTGGCCTGCACACCTGAGGGTCATGGGTTCAATTCGCTGTCAAGGGCACATACCTCGGTTGCAGGTTTGTTCCCCAGCTCCAGTTGGGAGTGGGAGGCAACCCCAATCTCTCTTCTCTCCTCCTTGCTCTCACCCCTCCTTTCCACTCTCTCTACAAATCAATGAAAAAACATATCTTCACACCTCAGGTGAGGATGAAAAAGAAAAAGTGTCAGCCCACTAATAGCAGTGGAGGGTTTGAGTTCTAGTGTAATCAGGCTGCCTGTTTTTTCACACTTCACCCTTTACCATTTACTAGGTCGGTGACCTTGGGCAAATTACTTAACATCTGTAAGTGCCAGTTCACTCATTAATACAATGGGAGTCATGCTAAGACATGTGATCATACATCTAAGTGCTTAGCATAGTGCTCAATTCATGTCAATGCTCAGTCAATACAATTACTTCTCAAGCTTAAGTCCACTTCCCAGTTTTCCCACACACTCTTGGCTCTAGCTGTGCAGTTCCCCGAGTGCTCTTTAGGCTGCGTTATACTCGGCCTTCATACATGTCGTTCTTTCTGTCTTGGTGTTTCCTTGCCCCTCGAGCTAGCTAACTTGGTTTTCATGCCCTCCCCCTTCCCAGGTCATCTTCCCTGCCTGCGTAGTCGATCCCTCCAACTGGACTAAGTTCCTTAAGGCAGGGTCAGTAGTTATCCAGCCTTCATCTCCAGCACACCGCCTGGTGCCCTGGCACCTGGGGCGTACTGAAGTCTCAGGATGGTGGTGGCAGCTATGGAGGCTGCTGCCCTGGAAAGAAGCTGAGACTGTGAATGAACATAGCGTGGTGGGAAGCAGAACAAGACCAAAGATGAGCTGGAGGTAGGAGAGCCACAAGCCCAGGGTAGAGGTGGGCACCCCAGTACCTGGTGGGGCAGCCCAGGCGCTGGTCACAATGGGCTCCTCCAGGGAGATGTGGGTCACCTGACAGGTGTAAGTGGCACCAGCGGAGCCAGGTTCCGCCGTCAGGGAGGAGGAGATGCTGTAGGTGCCCTCTGCGCTTTGCCGGAGGCTGGAGAAGGAGGCATCAGAGACTGGGACTGGGGCTCCACCCGGTTCCTCTCGGGTCCACGTCACAGTCACGTCCAGAGGATAATAGCCAACGATGTTGCAGATGAGAGTGGGTGGCAGAGCTTCATTGGCCAAGCCTAGTCGTACTTTGGGAGAAGCTGGAAGAAAGAATAATATTCCAGAGGGGTCAATGGGACAACAGAGAGGCCTAAAGCCTTTTCTTCCTGCTGAGAGTGAGCTAGGATGTGGAGGCTGAAGTTTCATCCTCAGTGGAGTGCCAAGGGGCGGTGAGGAGTCCACCCTGGATGCAGGCCATAAAGGGGTACATCTTCCACAGGTAATTGAAAGACGCTAGTAAAACCAACTAACGGCTGGCTTGCTTCTTATCATCACTATAAGCAGTGACTTGAAAGGGTATCAGTGATGAAACTCTCTTCTCGATCAGGGCCACTCCCACTGCACCTCCTGGGCTTGCTCTGCTCCTTTAGGGAGTGTGATTGGAGGCAGCCAGCAGGGCAGGGTAACCGGATCCTGGGCTGGGAAGTTTCTCGATGGACTTATCCCGAAGTGTGACAGAAGGCAGTCTGATGCCCTCTGCACCTCTAGGGCGGAGATGGCATTTAGGCTGTGGGAATGCAGTCTGCCTCTCAGGAAATGCCCTTGTATTTGGACTCCACTATGGAAAACACTCCCAATAAGCATATCCCTTTCCCTCTCCCCCAGAGAAGTGAGTTCTGGCCTCACCTTGGACATGGAGCTGGATGATTTGTTGAGCTTGGTACAGAGAGGTGGTGATCTGGCAAATGTAGGTCCCCTCGTCCTTCAGAGTGAGGCTGGGTAGCGTGAGGGAGGCGTCCCCGGCCATGAGGAGCTGCTCAGGCTCCAGGGTAGCGCCCTCTCGCTTGGCCTGCCCCTGCCCTGTGGTCCAGCTGTACACCAGCTGGCCGCTGCCTTTATGCTGCAGCCGCCACTCCACTCTGGCGAGGTCCAAGCCTGGCGTCATGGAGAAGCCGCAGTGCAGGGAGGCTGAGGACCCCCGCTGGAAAATCAGGGATGGGGTATGTGTTGTCACCTGGAACTCCACTGTGGTGAGAGAAAGAGGGGGATGTGCTCAGCTGCCGCTTGAGACCAGCTGATCTGAGCCGTGGGCATGTTGTGGGTACACATCTACCCCTCCTTTCTTAGACAGTGAGGGCAGTTGGGCTCATTTCCCAAACAGATGGAACCACAAAGAAATGGGGCTCTAGAACCACATGATTTCACTCACATGTGGCATATAAAACTGAAACTTACGAACACAGACAGCAGCATGGTGGTTGCCAGAGGGAGGGGGTGGAGGAGGAAAAGGGGTCCAAATGTGAGGTGACAGGAGAAGATGTGACTTTGCGTGGTGGGCACATGGTGCTAGAGGCAGATTTTGTAATTTAGTCACCCACACATGAAACCTATATGTTCATGTTGACTAATGTCACTCCAATAAAATTTAATTAAAAAACAAAACAAACAACAACAAAAAATAAATGGGCTCTGGAAAGGCAGTGTGACACACAAGGTGACCTTAACAATTTTGGAGTCGCCCCTGGATAATCTGAGGAAAGCTGCTGGCCCCTCACCAGGAAGATACACATGCGAAATTGTGGGTTACTATTGGCTCTTGGGTAAGAACCACTAGAGCAGATAAAACATTTTGGAAGCCTGATTCTTCCATGTGGCCGCTCTGTGGCCTTGGACAAGTCACTTAGTGTTGCCAAGCTCACCTGCCGAAGGCAAGGCTGCTGTGAAGCCTAAGTAGGAGTAAGAGTTTAAAAAGCACACTGTACACCCAGCCGCTGTGGCTCAGTTGGTTGGGAATCGTCCTGTGCACGGTTGCCGGTTCGATTCCTGGTGGGGGCACATACCTGGGTTGTGGGTTCAATCCCCGGTCGGGGCATGTACGGAAGGTAACCGATCGATGTTCCTCTCTCACATCGCTGTTTCTCTCTCGCTCCCTCTCTAAGCATGAGGATTAAAAACTAAAATAAAAAGCACACAGTAGTATTTGTGCCAGACATGCTAAACCTAAATCTAATGAGGAGAACAATCAGGCAGTGGGATATGCTACCAGACAAGGCCTAGGCTCTTCAAAGACGTCAGGGCTATGAAAGACCGTTCTGGAGTAAAGGAGCCTAAAGGCACAAGACAGCTAAATGCGTGTGTGGTCCTTGCTTGAATCCTGGACTCTACAAGAACCAGAGAGCTACAAAGGACATTTTTGGGGTAACTGGAGAAGTTTGAATTTGGACTTCATACTCGACAGTATTATTGTTATCAATTTTTAAATATTGACCTTAAGTATGATGCTCAGTGGTGTAGCAAGTGGGACTGCCCTGGCAAATATGTTCTTAAATTCTTGACACACTGTTCCCCCTTATTGTCTGCACCATGGTAGACCACCCCACCTTGGTTTGCTGAGGTGCTGGTTCTGTGATGATGGAGAATACCCCTGTCTTTGGTTATAAACCAAATGCTGTAAACCACATGTTATACATGGCAGTATTTGGGGTGAAGTACTGGGATTTCTGCAGCTCTCAATTTGTTCAGGAATATCTATAAAGAGAATGCTAACAGTTGATGGGACCTAGGTGTATGACATACAGGTGTTCATTACATTATTCTTTCACCTTTTGTAGGCTTAAAATATCCCAAAATAAAAAGGGACTATCTAGCTATACCAGGACTATGAGGACTCCTCTTTTCTGCTGTAGCAGGATACACTTAGGTTGGACCACAGAAAGGTCGAATGTTCTGGGGCTTTCTAAGGATAGGTGGGTAGTTCCCTAATCTTTGGACTTGGGTGTCTCTTTTTGGAGGTAAAATAGTAGATTTAATGAACTCTGGAGAAACTTATCCTCATGTTCTCAATTCCCTGCGCCCTCTGGGATGTGCTGGAGAAGGCAGGAACTGGGTTTTACTAATAATATTAATAAGGGGCAACGAACAAATTCTGAATCCCTGTGCTTTGCTCTCATCAAACACCAGACCAGGATGGCTTTTCACTGGGAGAAAACTGGTGCTTGGCCCAGTAAGCCTACTACGAACAGCATACATGACTAGAGCACCACATGTCATTTCCTCAGGCAAAACAGTGAGGAGAAAGTTATCCCCGTTTTGGACCCTTCGAAAGAAAGGACTGAGGTTGAGGGGACACCTTGAGATGACTGATGTGGATGGAGGTGGACTTGTTCCCTCCCTTCTTCTATTTCTTGCCCAGCCGGCGTGGCTCAGTGGTTGAGCATTGACCTGTGAACTGGGAGGTCACGGTTTGATTCCCAGTCAGGGCACATGCCTGGTTTGTGGTCTTGATCCCCAGTGTGGGGCCTGCTGGAGGCAGCCAATCAATGATTCTCATCATTGATTCTATCTCTCCCTCTCTGAACTCAATAAAAATATATTAAAACAAAACTTTCTGCTACTTTTCATTTTCTTACCTGTAGTCAGCACAGTCCCCTGGGGGCCCAGGGGTAGGTTCAGCGTGGGGGGCATGACAGCCCTGTTCTCAGCATCCCTGAGAGTCTTCATCAGGATGGAGACCCTGGGTCCCCCTCCAGAGACCTGCAAGTTGGTGATGAACCAAGCTGCTGTCTCAACAGCCGCCTCTTGTCTGGCCTGGAGAAAATAGCGGGAGATCTCGCAGGTCACCTCCTTCTCGCTGCAGTCAGCATGGAGCAAGGCCTCTGCGTGGGGAATCTGCACCGGACTCACTGGGGAAGAAGGGCGGGCGGCACAGGGTGGACTGGATTGAGGACATGGGAAGCAGATGCAGGTGGGCGCACTGGGAACTGGGCTGTCCCAGTGGAGGGAGCCCAGCAGGACTGGGACACGGGGTGGAGGCTCTTACCTGAGGCCTCAAAGGTAACAGGTGGGTTGTCTTTGGACAGTGTGCTCACTTGGAAGTCGGTGAAGCCTTCCAGGGAGCCATCATCCAGCACTGGCACCTGCTTCAGCACCAGCAGGGCCTTCACCATGTTCTTTTCGCTGGCAAAGCCTCCATGGTGCTTGCCCTCCTCCACCAAGAAGCAGTCCAAGACCACGTCCACGGCCCGCCACTGCCTTTCTGCTGCAGGGAAAAGAGTGGGCTGCAGCCACACCCTCCTGCCCAGAAAGTTACTTCTGTGCCCACTCCCTGCCCCAACTGCGGAGTCACTAGGGGTAAAGGTTGTGTTCCAGGGGCCCAGCTGTCTCTGTCCCTATCTTGTCACCCCCCAGGCCAGCTTTCTGGGAAGCACCTGCCTTTCCAGGTACTTCTTGATGGGAGTGATTTAAAGCCCTGGATTTGCCTTGCTCCGAAGGGTTTATGCTTTTACTTTCATTTCCAGCCACGAATGAAAGCTATTTTCAGGCAAAGGAGTTCTCAGCAAAAGCAAATAAGTGAGCAGAATTGCCAGGGGGAGAGGCGACAGGCCATCCTGCAGCCCAGGGTGTTGGCAGCCATCTTCTCCACTTGCCAGCCGGCAACAGGTCTGCTCTGCTTTCTGCCCCAACATGCAGCCTTCCCCTCCCACCTCCCGATCACCTTCCTGGCGACTTCCTAGCTGGGGACCCTTTCTCTTCCGAAGGTGTCCCCTCTCCCAAGGACAGCGCTCCCACCACATTCACCGTGAAGGCCCCTCTTTTTCATTTGGCTTTTCCTCCCGGGTCTCCGCCTCTCTCCCCAGCACAACTGGTTCCATTGTCAGCCACTGAGCCTTTCTCCCCTTGGGCTTAGAAGCGATTGGCTCCTCTCCCCTTGTGTAATCCAGAGGGTGGCTGTTCGGAGCTTCCCTAGCCTCACATTTCCCTCCGGCCGGCGCCCACTCACCTGTGTCCACGGCAGCTCCGGACAGAGCCAAGCAGAGCAGCAGCCACCAGCCCTCTGTGCCCATGGGGGCTGCTCTCAGGCCCCCTCCGCTGCCCGGCTCCACCGGCTCCCTGCTGGCAAGGTCCCAGCTGGAGAAGAGGGGTCTCTCTCAACACTCCTTTCAATACTCCTTGGTGGCCACGGCTTGTGAGTTTCTCTCCAGTCCTCCGCCTACGTCTCTTTCACTTTCACTTTGAGGAAGCGCCACTGCGGCTGCCTTCACCTCTGGGTGAAGCCATTTCTTGCTGGTGCCAGAGTCCTGTTCACCGTTCTCCTCTCCAGCCCTACTGCCCACCCCCGTCATCCCCTGTCAAGACCTGACTTCACTGCGTGCACCCTTCTGCTCCCCACCCGCCCCAAGAAAGTGGAGCTGCAGGGAAAGGGAGGTGGGAGGAGGAAGGGGGATACCGAAGCTAAAAGCAGGAACCCCCTGAGTCTGGGAACCTTTTCTCATTTTCTGTTGGTGCCACACCTCCTCCCTCCCCTGCTGGGCAGGCCCCAACACCAGACCGCAGGGGAGAAGGCTCCTCCCTCCGATCCCTGATGGAGCTGAGGCTGGGAGTGGCCTGCGCTGTGAGTGGAATTTCAGAGAGGCGGCATGTGTCAGTCTGTCACTTTATTCTGCTGAGTTTCTAAATACAGCACGTGGGGCTTTCCTGGGCTTAAGTGTATTTTACAGCTGGAACCCCAGCCCTCGTCCAGCACGGAGGTGAAGCTGGCTGGGCCAGGACACATCCCGCTTCCCACCCCCCACCTCCCACTGTCCTTATCACGCCAGTCTCAAAAGGTACATTCTCAAGTCTGCACACAGGAAAGGGCCCTGCCAGGGCATGGCACTGAATTTGCGGTTGCTGGGTCTCATTGCCTCTGGCTGGGCAGTGGGCCGAGGTGGAGGCCAGGCCTTTTCTGCAGTGATGGCCTCCTCTGGGGAGTGGCAGCTCAGAGGTAGGAAGCAGGCTCAGGCTTTCGGTAATCCTCCTGGACGGGGATAGCTTCGCCTTCCTCCTCCCTGGGACAGCTGTAGGGACAAGGCTCAGCAGGCGCCGCCGGACTTTCTCCTTTGTCTGCAGAAGCAGAAACAGATGACTCTTGGCCAGTGGTCAGGGGAGGAGGCGAAGGAAGAGGAGATAAGCAAAGCTTGGGGAGGGCTGTCAGGAGGACCTCAGCTAAGAAGAGAGGAAGACGAGGCAGGAGCCAGGGTGGATACAGATGGAGCGAGGGAGGCTTCCAGGACGTCCCAGGCATGGGTGGCAGGGCTGCGGAGGTGGGGTGGGGTCAGAAACAGGACTGGAGACCTGTATTTTGTCTCTTACTTAGTCCATTTTTTCTTCGTTGATGGAGGAACAGGGCTCCGCCCATGGTGAAAACAAGGAACATTCCAGACAGGATCACGAAGATTCTGATGCACTCTGAGTTGCATAGGAACCTCTGGGCTGTGATAGGCAGGGGCCACACAAGGGTTTGGGAGAAGGGCCCAGCCCTAGACGCCTCTCACCCCAGCCCTCCCCTCATCCCCTCATCTTTGTCTCTCTCCTCCCGGCCTTCCTCTCCTCCCCATCATTGGACCAAGTGCTCTCTTCATCCCTAGACTCTGCTCCTCTTCCTCTTCTCCCCACTCCTAGGAGCTGGCTTCTCTCTTGGACTCTCCCATATATATTCTCTTGGAGTGGAGAATGTGGAGAAAACTCACCTGGCCGTTGAGTCGAGAGAGCTGGGGCAGGCAGCCTGAGGTCAGCCAGAGTTTGCACGTGCCTGGCTGTCTTGGCCTCCAGCAACTCTGGAAAAAATAGACATAGGGTGAGCAACAGCAGGGAGAGACCAGGCTGAAGGCCTAGGGGCCTGGGAGGAGTTGGATGAGATGGAAAGGCAGAGACAAGCCAACCAGGCAACTCATGTGGGGGGTGAGCTCAGATGGGGTGCTACTTGAGAGTGACCCTTACCCCAAATGGACAAAGAGTTCCCTGGAACTCACTTTTGGTGTAAGGTAAGTGGGTGGGTTGTGGGCCGGGGGCCGACGATAGATGAGGGGTCAGCGTGGGGGTTCTAGCAGGATCACACTCGGTACACTCCTTGTCCTTGCACTCCCAGCCCGTGGGGCAGGTACACACGGCATTGGCGGTGGGGGTGCAGTTTCGAATGAGATGACCTGGAGACAGAGGAGGCGGGAGGAATACAAGACACTCAGGCCTCAGAGACCTGCAAACCCCCCTTGCTTAATCCTCTCCCCCAGGCCCACCCCACCCACACAGAGGCTGGCCTCTCTCTCACCACCACCCAGTCCCTTTGCCATTAGTATTATTGTTATTAAGAAGAAAAAAAACTTGGACCTTTTAGAAAATTCATGGTTCAGAAAGAGACACTATGAAGAGTAGAAACAGTCTGAGATTTTTACAATTGGATTATAGTATAGAGAAGTTTGGTACCAGTTGGTCTCACAAGTATAACCAGCAGGTTAAACAGAAGATGACCAGTAGGGGGTGATCATGCAGCTGTTTGTCCAAAAGAAGGGAAGGGCTAAAGAAGGGGCTGGGCCTGCTGGCCTGGCTCAGCGGTTGAACATCCACCTATGGACCAGGAGATCACAGTTCAATTCCCTGTGAGGGCACATACCCGGGTTGTGGATGTGCAGGAGGCGGCCAATCAATGATTCTCATCATTGATGTTTCTCTCTCTTTTCCTCTCTGAGATCAATAAAAATGTATATTAAAAAAAAAGAAGGGGCTGGGATTGGGTAAAAATGGATGAAATGCCATTGTTTTCAGTGATGAGTATCCAGAAATCTGGAGGGTTTTTTTCACCACGTGTAACATGTGCACAAAATTCTAGACTATCTGGTATTTCTCCATCTTACAGATGGGAATACTGAGGTCAAAGGGAACCAAACTCATTCAGCCTCCTCCCTCCCAGCACTCCCCCCCCCCCCCCTCCATCCAGCAGCCAGGTGCTGCCTGAGTGCTTTGAGGAACCTATGGGCTGTGTCTCATAGAGAGAAGGATCATGGATTGGGCTGGGCTGGAACATAGCGAAGGGAATACGGGCTGGCTCAGTGCTGGGAGAAGGCTTTCTGGTGGGGCCTGCAGAGGGACTGGGGCAGGTTTTGAATTTTAAAAGTCCAACCCTGCTGGGGTTGCTGTCAAGAAGAGAAAAACGGCTGTTAACGGTCACATTTTTAAGTTACGTGGACTGGGGAACGCTTCTTGTGTATGCAAGCTGTTGCTGTTTGATTTGCAATGGCAAAACCTTTTTTATTTAGTTAATTTTTTAAAGAACACAGTGTTAAAAGCCCAGTGAGACCAAACACATTTCAAAGGCAAGTAGTGGAATAGCTCAGCTAAGTAGTCCGTCCTCACAAGTGTCGTGCCGCAGGGCACCTGTTCAAAGGGTCCCCGTTAAAACCTGCCACTCCTTGTGCACTGGCACCTCCTCATTCCTGAAGTCCTAGCTACTGTGGAGGGATAATAAAAGGATTCCTAACACAGCCACAGATATTACACTTCCTACTTTAAAAAAATAAAAGAAATTACAAAATTTCATTTGTGTGTGTGGCTGAAATCAGGGGTTCTAGAGCCACCTCCTCTTTTTTAGTGTCTTGATGCCAACCATGGACCCATTCTCAGCAGTCCCTCGGATTTTGCCTACTCTTCCCCTAAACACTCGAGTTCTCATCATATCAGCATCCCTGCTCCCCGCTCCCAGGTGCCCCATTTCCCCAGCGTTGGCTCCCTTGCCCTAGCCTTGAACTCTACCCCCTCTCTGCTCCTCCACACCCAGCTCTGCCACCTTGCTCCCCGGATGCTTGCCCATCTCACCGGAGTGACAGTGCCGGCAGCTCTCGCAGTGGGGCCGGGCGTTGTGGTCTGGTGAGAAGGAGACCCCCGGTATACACGGTTCACACTGAGCGGCCGCTCTCTGCTGGTCGCAGTGCTTCTTGAGGAACGTTCCTGTGAGCAGAGGTCCAGGGTCAAGGCTGCTTCTCTGCCCTCTGCAAGGTGGTGCCTGGGGCACTGCAGGATTCCTCCCCCTGCTGGAGCGCAGGCTCACGTTCTGCTTCTCTTCCCCCCAACCCCAGTCCTCTCCCATATCAGTCTGCCCCTGGCAAGGCGTCCTCTCTTACCTGGCTCACACATCTGGCAGCACAGTTCCTTCTGAGCCCGGTAGTGCTTCTCTGGGCAGCTATTGGGGGCTGGGGTCGCTGAGAGCCCTGCCAGAGCCCCCAGAACCCACAGCCAGCAGGAAGGTGGCCAGGCCATGGCTCCTTCCCCGGGAAGCTAACGGCTGGCCTCTACACCGGGCGCAGCTTCCTCCTCTTTGCACCTCCTGGGCAGCAGCTGCGGGTCTCCGTGTAGTCCTGCTTCAGGTGGCAAGCTAACTTTTGGTGGCAGTTGAAGCTCTACTGTGACTGTTTTTTGTTGTTGTTGTTTGTTTGTCTTTACAGCAGCAACCTCTTACTCCTCCACCCTTTTTGCGTGCTGGGTGCTGGGGAGAGTGGTTAAAGGGCAAACGCTGTCAGAAGACCTACTGCTCTTCAAAGTCACCCCCCTCCTCCCCCCCAACATGCAGCTTCTCCGTTTCCGTCTCTGCTTGGTGCCTGTGAAGAAAGTAACCCATGTACGCCTGCCTCTTTTATACAGCGTTGAGCGTGCAGCCACCCGCCTCTCATTCACACACTTGTACTCAAAGGTGCCCACATTACGGCCCTGTTCACAGCGTACAAGCTAATTGGCACGTCCCTTCTCCCCTCTCCGCAGGGAATAAGTTTATTTCTTTCACAGAGATAAGCAATGCAGAGAAGGAAGGGGAACAGGAACTGAGGATCTGAAACAGGGTCAGGTGAATTTTAGAACTGAGAAGTTTTCAGGTTTGGGGAAGGAACTAGCACCACAAGACACCTTCACGGGGATGGGGTAGCAACCGCAGTCCAGTGCAGCATTTCTGCAGCAGGACGGTTGACTATTCATGCTAAGTGGGGTGAATAATGACCATGGCTAGCCTTGGTTTTATGGCCAAAAGAGTTTGTGATGGAAGCGTTAAAATGGCATCCAAGGGACGTAAACCTCTGTCACGCTCTGCGCTAGGAGATCACACGTGGCCTCATTTAGTGTTCCTGCCAGTCTGTGATACAGGTATCACCCACTGCCCATCTGTCCTCCCCTCCTCACCCCACTAGCACCTTCATCTTCCCCTTGCCACCTCTGACTGTGTCAGTCGCTGAAGTCCTGGAGCCCCCAGGACCTCTCCCCCATACGCCTTGGGCATTGAGGTTAAAGGTCCATGGCTGTGCGTCATCTCGTCCCTACTTCTATGGTTTGGGGAATATTGGACATAGCTGGACTTTCCCCTCTGAGTTCTAGGAACATATGGGTCAGACGGCTGTCCCCTCCTTTTTCCCTGAGGAATGAGGCGTGGGTGCCTCATTTCTCTAGGGCCTAGAGTCTAGGCTATTTTTCACTCAGGGGCTTTGCAGTTGTTTTCACAGGGCTCGTAAAATGTCACACCCCTGTGATTTCACTTGCTATATTGGTTCTCTGTCTTACTCTTTCATTTCCTTTCTCTTCATTTTTTCCATCCCCTTGCCCTTCCCCGACCCCCTCTAGTCTTCAGGTGGTCCTGTCTACTGGGGAGCCATATATGGGTGTGATTTGAATAGCTACTTATGCAAAAACCTCCATTTTCACTGTTGGGCAGGGTGCCTGAATTCCCATCTCAGAATGTTAACTTTGGGATCTAAGGATTTTGGGGTCGCTAACAGTCCTGCCCCATGCTCAGATGATGGTCAATTTCTCTACTGTTAATCTTCAACATCAAGGAGGACATGGAAAGGTGGGACCCTGTGGGGATGGATGTGACCCCAGAGGAATGATGAGTTGGGGACTTTTAAGGAGAAACTTGCCGAAGGGGGACTTGGAGGACACAGAAGACTAACAACCTTGACTAGACCCTGAGCTGCTCACCCACGTGAGTCTGTGTTCTCTGTGCCAAGGCCCATGTCCCCTCTTCTACTCATCACTTCTCCATGGGGGAGAGGGCAAGAGAAGGGTCTGCCTGGCTCTCCTGGAGGACCCCTGGTTGGGAGAAGGAGAGCCACGTTTCTAGACCTTACTATTCTCCTGCCTTCTGTGATGCAAAAGTTGCATCAACTTTTGGTGAGCATTAGCCTGTCCTAGGCTGGCTTCCTGGACAGTCTACAGGCTCTAAAAGTGCAACCTGCTGACCTTCCCCTCAAAATCTTCCATCACCTCTTTTTCTTTGGGGTTCAGCTCCCCACAGTTGTCTGACACAGATATGTGGTGTTTTTCAACAACTCCCTCCTTTTCTTACCTCTTCAGAGACAGACCCACCGAAGCCTCTCTTTTGATGGCTTTCATTACTTTTGAGGGGTCCTGACCAAACCCTCAGTCCGGCTGTTTCCTTAACCTTTGCCCTACCACAGGTCCTAAATTTGGGATACAGTCCTTTCTTGAATTTTCCTATAAACCAGCTGTAAACAGAAGGTTGTTAGGTGTGGCAAAATTTTTACAGAAGTTTTATATATCATAAGGATACCACTTAAAATAGTATTTTGCATATTCCTGTTCTTTTTTTTAGATTTTTTAAAATTACAGTTGACATACATTATTATATTAGTTTCAGGTGTACACCCCAGTGATTAGACATTACATAACTTACTATATGATCATCCCAATAAATCTCGCACCCATCTGGCACCATACATAGTTATTAGAATATTATTGACTATATTTCCTATGCTGTACTTTACATCCCCATTACTATTCTGTAACAATCAATCTGTACTTCTTAATCCCTTCACCTTTTTCATCCAACCCCCCAACCCTTTCCCATCTGGCAACCACAAAATGTTTTCTGTATCTATGAGTCTGTTTCTGTTCTGCTTGTTTATTTTATTTTTTAGATTCAATTGTTAATAGATATGTATTTATTGCCATTTTGTTCATATTTCTCTTCCTCCTCCTCCTTCTCCTCCTCACTCTTTAACATTTCATGGTGATGAATTCCTTTAGCTTTTTCTTGTCTGTGAAGCTCTTTATCTGCCCTTCAATTCCAAATAATAGCTTTGCTGGCTAGAGTAATCTTGGTTCCTTGCTTTTCATCACTTTGAATATGTCTTGCCAGTCCCTTCTGGTCTGCAAAGTTTCTGTTGAGAAATCAGTCGACAGTCTTATGGGAGCTCCCTAGCAGGTAACTAACTGCTTTTCTCTTGCTGCTTTTAAGAGTCTCTCTTTGTCTTTAACCTTTGGCATTTTAATTATGATGTGCCTTGGTGTGGGCCTCTTTGGGTTTATCTTGTTGGGGAGTCTATGCGCTTCCTTGACCTGGATGTCTATTTTCTTCAGTAAGTTAGGGAAGTTTTCTGTCATTATTTTTTCAAATAGGTTTTTAATTTATTGCTTTCTCTCTTCTCCTTCTGGTACCCCCATGATGCGAATGTTGGTACACTTTAAGTTGACCCAGAGGTTCTTATACTACCCTCATTTTTAAAAATTCATTTCTTTCTTTCTCTCTCTCTCTTTTTTTTCTGTTCGGATTGGGTGTTTTCTGCTTCCTTATCTTCCCAATTTCTGATTTGATTCTCTGCTTGCATATTTTTGTTCTTAATGGTCCTTTCCACCCCTGAGATTGATCAGTGGTCTAGTTACCCTACAAAGCAGTAAAGGCACTGGCCATCTTGCTGACACCTCTCTCCTCTCTTCTCTTCTTTTTTTTTTTTTGTGTCCCAGAAATTTGTCAGGCATCATATCTCATCTCTCTTCAGCCCCTAATCCCCAAATCAATCTTGGCTCTTTATAAATCAATAACCAGAATCAAAATACTCCATGGAATTAAACTCTCTTCAAGATGTTTCCTTAGAAGGAAATTTTGTTATATTACATAGATGTCAGAAATCACTGTTTGTCATCCTTATCAACCAAACCCTTTAGTTTTTCTAGCCTTCTTTGTCTTTCACTCCATTTCTTATTTCTCCATTCCTGTTTTCTTTGATGACCCCATCCTCTCCCCCACTGCTTTAGATCCTCCTTCCCAGAGAGCCTTTAGAGAACAGCTGGGCAGGAAAGTTGGGTGGACTGATTAACAAGGGTCTGGTTACTCACATCCCCATTCTGAAATTTGCATTCCTGGGACTCCCCAGTCTGGGTCTCAGGGGGACTCAGCTGTGGGCATTTCTTTCCATCTCTGATCACTTTTCGGCCCCAGCTCCTAGTATCTCTTAGCATGTAAGGCACTCACTATATATTAGATGGTCCAGTCTTAGCCTTGTTCCTTGACGGTTGTATCCACAATTATAAAATTGAAATTTCAGGGATCCCAGGCCACATTGACCTCCTAAATTCTACTTCTCATTCACTTGACAAGTATTTGTTGCACGTCCATTTGTTCCAGGTACCAATTAAGTAATAGGACACAAAGGTGAAAAAAAATAAACACGTGATTTCTGCCCTCATGGAGTTGAGACAACAGTGAGAGAGTCAGACACTGATAAAATAACCTCACAAGACAAATGTAAAGTTATTAGTAATGGTCATTATTCAGCACCATGAAGGGGAGAGTCAGGGTGCAATATAGGTGCCTGACCATTAATAGGGGGGTTCAGTGCTTCAACCAGGAAGCAAAGTTTAACTGAGAGATGTGCGGATCTGACAGCTCTCACTTTCTGGAAAATTGTTTCTTCCTTTGGTTTCTAGATATCACCCTATTCTTCCTTTGACCACTTCTATTCTTTGATCAATGATAAATTTTCTCATATACAGATTTTACAAAATAGGAATGATCTGTTCCTTCAAGGCCTGGTGTGTGTGTGTCTTGTGTGTGTGTGTGTATTTTGAGTGTAGATTTTTTCACTACGGATTATTCTAGAGTCAGTTTCAGTAGGTTATATTTTACCAGAAAACTGTCTATTGAATTTGTTTCATATTAATGGGCATAAATGTTTAAAGTTATCACAAGATCTGCAGTTATTGCCCCCTTTTCACTCCCAATATTATTTATTTATAATTTTCTCATTTTTTCTTGATACATTTTGCCAGAAATAGGTCTAATTTATTAATTGCTTCAAAGAACCACCTTTTGATTTTGTGTTTCCTTATTATTTCCTTCTTCTCTGTTTTATTTTACACTTTGATCTAATTTTTTAAAAAATATATTTTATTGATTTTTTACAGAGAGGAAGGGAGAGGGATAGAGAGTTAGAAACATCAATGAGAGAAAAACATCGATCAGCTGCATCCTGCACACT